GCAAGCGACTTGACGGCACATAACAACAAACCTAACCAGAAACACAAAGGATCTATTCAAAGAAAATTACAGAACATTATTACAAGAAACAAAAAGAGAGAACTGGAGAGATGGAAGAATATCCCTTGCTCATGGATAGGAAGACTCAATATTGTGAAAATGACACTATCAAAGGCAATTTACACATTCAATGCCATCCCAATACAAATACCAATTCCATTTTTCAATGAGATGGAAAAGGCAATCTCCCATTTCATTTGGAATGGAAAGAGGCTCAGAATTTCAATTCCTACTACACTGCCCTGGTGGTCAAGACAGCATGGTACTGGTACAATGACAGACACATAGATCAATGAAATAGAACTGAGAATCCATAAATCAGCCCATCTACGTATGGTCAATTGATTTTTGACAAGGAGATGAAATTAGTTAAGTGGGGAACGACAGCCTTTTTAACAAAAGGTGCTGGCAAGATTGGAAAACTACCTGCAGAAGGCTCAAGCAAGATCCACACCTCACTCCATACACAAAAACCAATTCAAAGTGCATTATGCACCGAGGAATAAAACCAAAGACTATAAACTTCATTAAAGAAAAGCTTGGAAGAACTGTAGAAGTCCTAATCCACAACATAAACAGTCTTCCAAGCATCCTGGAAAATCTACAACCACAAGAGGATAAAAAAAGATGAATAGGACCTTCTAAGAATTAAATTTCTATGCACATCCAAAAACTTCTCCAACAGGGTAAAAAGGGAAGCCACAGATTGAGAAAAAATATTCAGTAATGACATGTCAGACAAAGGACTTACATATAGAATTTATAAAATACTTGAGCACCACAACAAGATAAATAACCCAATTGAAAAATGGGCACAGGATATGAACAGACACTTCACCAAAGAAGACATTGAGATGGCCAACAAGCACATGAAGAAATGTTCAAAATCCCTAGCTCTAAAAGAGATTCAAATAAAAACAACTATGAGATGTCATCTCACCCCAGTAAGAATATCAAAATTTAACAGAACAGAAAACATCAAATGCTGGTGAGGTTGTGGAGAAACTGGAACCCTTATTCACTGTTAGTGGGAGTGTAAAATGTTGCAACCACTATGGAAAGCTGTATGGTGCTTTCTCAGAAAGTTGGAAATAGAAATACCATTTAGCCCAGCAATTCCACTGCTGGGAATTTACCCTAAAGAAACCGTAACTGCCACCCAAGCAGATATATGCACACTCATGTTTATAGTGGTTTTGTTCACAATAGCAAAGAGCTGGAAACAACCCAAGTGCCCATCAACAAACGAATGGATAGAGAAGCTCTGGTATATTCACACAATGGAATACTGTGCATCATTGAAAAACAGGGAACTCATGAAATATTATGCAAAATGGATGAGCCTGGAGGACATTATGCTCAGTGAAATATCTCAGTCACAAAAGGACAAATATTGCATAGGGCCATTGTTCTAAAATGGGACTGACATCAGGATTGAGGGAAGACAGAAAAGGAGGGGAAGAATTATGTATACTGCAGTGAAACAGATTAGGGAGACAATTATTTTAAAGGGATATATGGTTGGGTATTATGGTTATTAAAGAAGTCCAGGATGAAGGCTGCATAATGGAGTGAACTTGGGGGAAGGAATTATATAACAATGAGTTTTTCTTTTATTTTTCAAGGAGAAAAGTAAAGTGGGGGAAGGGGTGGGCAGGGAGAAAAGTGCAACAATGAGTGAGTGGAATCCCTAGTCTCTGTAAACTTTCATTAAAATTTAAAAAGAAAAAAACGAAGAAGTTCAGGTCTGGACTAGGAGTCCCTCATCACAGCATTCCCAGCCTGGTTAGACAGCAAGAAACGGGGGGATGGGGGAGCCCTTAGGGGGGCGAAGGAGGGTGAGTAACTGTCAGGCAGATTCCCGGAATCCCAGAGGGTCTCTGCTGCTGAGGTCAAGAGCAGCTAAGTCACGGTGGCCACTAACTGTGACCTCTGGTCGGAGTGTCAACCTTCCTTTGTCTCCCCACCCCCTTGCTCTGGCTATGTCTTCTGGGTGGAGGTAGATATGCACTAAGAAGTCAGACTTCTTGGACATCTAATCAAGCCCAGTCACCAAATATGTAAAACACCGTGATCCGCACAGCTTCAGAGAGGCCATTCAGAAGGCTTGTGTTTAATGGGGGCCTGCTGCAACATGGGATGCTTTCGGCACTGAGGGGCCCTAAGACCCACCTATTTCCAAAGGCTGGGACAGCTGTTTCTTGGGTAAGTCTACTTCAAGCATCAGGTTCAGCACATTCACAATCTCATAATACAGCTCCTGAAGCCTGGAGAGAGGAGCAGAAGGAGCTGAGTGAACCGAGGGAGGGCTTCGTGCTTCCACCCTCACCCACCCTCTCTCTGCACACTTGTTCCCATGAAGGCATTATGCTTGGCAGGTGTGGGGTCAGGGAAAGGCACCCTGCTGAAAAGGATCTGTCCCTTTCCCTGTGGGCTCGTGGAGTGATCACCACAATAGAAATAACAAATCCCTAGTCTCCAGTGAGGTGCTTGTGGAGTGCCCAGACGGCATCCAGCCCATTCCTGGACCAGATGGAGGGGTTTCTTGGTCTTCCTCTTTAGTGTCTCCAGTCTAGAAGCCTTCGGGGTAGGGTGGGGGGCTTGTGTTAGAAGCCAGACTTAACCACACCCTTCTTATTCAAGAGTCCCCTGTGACTCCCTAGGGTCCGCTGCCTTCTTTACATCCTTGCTCAGTAAAGGCCAGGTACAGTCACAGCTAACTAACCCAGTGCCCAGGTCCTGGGCAGGCCAGCCTAATTGCTGGACAGGCATTATTTTCATTATATCAGCCCAGAAAGCCTTCACGTGTTGAGGGTAAGGGAGAAGAGACTTGCCCAGGGCCATACAGGAAGGTGGTGGCAGACCTGGGCCAGGCTCCCAGGCTCCTGCATTCCCTGGGGCACTCCTTTACCTTCTCCTTCAAAATAGATCCAAGAGGCACTGGGCCTGTAAGGCCAGGATGGGCCATTGAAACAAGAACCAAGGTTGTCTGGCAGGGAGAGGCCTTGGGAGCAGCCCAGCTGGTGGAAGCAGAGGTCTGAGCTGTATCCCACTCTATACCCTGTTCCTCCAAAAAGGGCTTCAAGCTATTCCAACCACTTTGCCCATCTGCCAGCTCCCCCTACTCCCGAGTGGATCACCCAGCATGATCTCCTCATCATGGGTGGCAGAGGGGACTGACTTGTAGATAGTAGTATCCTGGCTGTCAAGAGTGGATAAGTAGATGTCGATGAAGGGTAGGCTAGTGCCAAAGTCATCCAAGACCATGGGGTCAGTGTGCCGCAGGGTCTTCTTGAAATTCTCCACCAGCTCACCAAAGTTTTCATAGGCAACGTTTTGCTGGAGAAGGAAGCATAGGGCAAAAGCCATGATGAGGTAGAAGTGAATGACGATCTGGATTTCCAACATAGGGCTCAAAGTGAGTCCGAACGGAAACACAGATTTATCCCTGGCACCTTTGGGCCTGGACTCGTGCCCCAGCTGAGCTGAGTCGCGAACGCCATCATTGTCCATGGGAAAGGGAGCTCAGAAGGAATAGGTTAAGATACAAGTGTGGCTCAGCATGGTCTCAGCCCACCCTAGACAAAGCTCGGGCATAGGCAAAATAGGCAGCAGGACAGTCTCAAGAGCAGATGTCTCAGACTTAGAGAACAGGCTGCTGGGGGACAGCCTGGGCGGAGGAAGGAGAGAAAACAGTAGTGCAGTCAGAACCCAGCAGGGTACCCAGTGCTTGGCATGGGCAGGTTAGCATGGCACGAGCACTGAGCTGAAATGAGAAGGCTTCCCACAGTGCCACACGACAGTGCCAGGCGTCAGACTGCGTCCTTCCTTTTGTGCTCATTCTGGGCCTGGGTGTAGAAACAACATGATGGAACTGAGGATGAGCATGTTAACCTCTGAGAGTCCCAATGTCCTCACTCGATGGACCACTGCCATTCCTGGCTGGCACTAGTGTGCTCTGGACGGTCCAGCCCGTAATTCCTAACCCCGAAGACCTGCAAACAGCAGAATACAAAATCTGGCTCTGGGAAATACAGAGACAACTTTCTGCCTTTCCTAAGGCCACAGTGTCTGAGGCCGCTAGCCCTCAACATGGGCCTTATGATCCTTCTTCCTGACCATTTTTCAGTCTTAACTATCCACCATCTATCTTTCTGTCTGTCTGTCTGTCTGTCTGAATGGTGGTGCCAAGCACCTACCTGGGTGCGCATCAGTTGGCTGACATCTTCTTGCTGCCGCTTCAGAATCACCTGCTTCTCTTCCATGAGTGTATTGTGCCTCTCCACTCTTAGGTCCCGCTTGAACTTTTTGATGCAGTCCTAGAGAGTCAACGGGTAAGACTGAGCCATAGGCCCTTGCTCCATGCTTACCCCATGCCTTGTTCTAGCCTTGCAGCTACTGTGCCTTCTCGATCCCTAGTAGCTTGTTGGCCACTATCCTTGTGAGGGGAAAGTGCACTGGCTCAGGAAGAGAGTTAGGCTGGGATAAAGCAAAATCATTGCGCCACCTCCTGTCCATCTCACCACCTGTACACCTCTTGCAGCCTTTATTTCCCGTTCATCTCCACCTCCTGTCCACCCCCCCTACTGTGCACCCCACCTCCTGTCCATTTCTACCTGCTGTCCACCCCACCTCTTGTCCACCCCTACCTCCTGTCCACCCCATCTTCTGTCTACCCCACCCCATGTCCACCCCACCTCCTATCTACCCCACCCTCCTGTCCACTCCTCCTCCTCTCCACCTTCACCTCCTGTCCACCTCCACTTCCTCTCCACCTCCAAGGGGAGACACTGCTTATGGTCCTCCCTGCAGCCGTGGCCCCAGCCCTGGCTGCCACACCTTTCCTGACCGCTAACCTTGTGTGTACAACCTCACCTCAGTGTGGATGATCATCACGCCCACAAACATGCTGAGGAAGATGAAGGAGGCGAGCAGGATGAAGGCAATGGTGAATGTCCTGCTCAGCATAAAATTCCTTTTATCTAACCTCTCCTGCAGAGCTGTCCAGCCATCCACCTGCTCGGGCAGGGCAGAGAATGCTGAGTGCCAAGACCTGATGGAGCAGAATCCCTTCTGCACACTCCTAGTCCAAGCGGTGCTTCCTGCCGGCCCACCAAGGAAGAGGCTGGCCCTGCCTCCGTGTCAGTCCACTGGACTCTCATTGACTTCAGGAGGCCAGTTCCTAGTGTCCCTGGGCCCAGGTGAGTGGGTGAGTGTCCGAACATGGAGGAAGGCCTCACATGAGGCTCTGCTTGCTTACAAGCCCACACCATCTGGGCACCTTTTCAAGGTCCCAGCCCACCCCACCACCAAGCCCAAACACAGTACCGTGGCCAAGCTGAAGAGGGTAAAGAAGGACACAGCCAGGTTCCCCCAGTTATCCAAGTCACCCGTTCCCGAAGCTCCAAACAGGCAGAAGCCCAAAATAGCGAAGATGTACATCAAGAGGAAGAAGAGGATGAGCACTGAGGCCACGGTGTAGGCTGTCTCCCCGAGGGCGATGATGAGCGTCTACAGGGGCAGGAAGACCACGTCTAGTGAGGACCCTGGGCTGAGGCCGTCCAGAGACAAAATCGTGTCTCCAGCATCTGTTTGCTTTCACAACTTTATCACTCGGGAATTGCAACTAATGTTACGGAACAAAATGTATATAAATTGGTGGATGAAAAACCAATTTGTTCTACAAACCTTCCCCCAAACCACAATTCAAAAGCAAATGAAAATTTTATCAACCAAACATAAACTCTGCATCCACTAAGCAATAATTCTTCTTTCCCTGCTTTTTCTAGCCCCTGATATCCACTAGACTTTGTCACTACACACTTAACTTTTCCAGATAATCCCTGTAAATGGGGTAATCTCTAAAGTTTTGTCATTTTAAGAAGTAGATTGACAGGCCTTTCTTCCTAATCTGTCTTGGGCTGGAACTGCCACTGCTGGCATTTGAAATACCTGTGCCATAGTTTCCAGAGTCATCGTAACACACAAGCCATCACTGTAAAGAAACTGATGGATGGTGGACTTCAGGTTAAGTCAGTGTTGTTCTCATTTTAAGGATCAGAGGTTCAAATATGAAATGTCGAAGCTGAAACTGCCTTCCAAGCCCTTTGTCTTACATCACTACCCTTAAGCACTCCCATCCCAAAGTACAAAACACTGGCTTAACACTAGAAAAGAGTCACTATCTGAATTGAGACCCAGTTTGAGGCAATTTGGGAAGCAGGGAGACAGCCTGAGAGCCCTAGAGCTGTCCCACATGTAGGCTGACTTGGCAGCTGCCTGCAGAAGGTGAATTCACACCAGATGCCACGCTCTTTGCCTTGGGTAAAGAAAATCAGGTTTGAGGTTAATTCCAAAATAGTCAAGATAAGCAAATGTGCCCCATTCTCTGTGAAACGGAGACAGAACACCTCTCCCAAGAATAATTAAGACTCAAGAGCCAAGTCCTCAGAGAAAGGCTGTCATCAAACACAGTCGTCGGACCAGGTCTGCGCAGTGCAGTGAGGGGTGTACTGAGTGTGAGAACCTGAGGTGCACATAGAAAAGTGAGAAGGAGGTTCCAGCTATGTCTCCTGCTTCCTGGCTAGCCCACCCAAAGGGACCAGTAAGTAGCATCCAAAGCCAAAGTTGCTACAGTATGAGATTGGCAGTGGAAAGGAGCCACTCCCGCTCTGCAGGAAGCCACACATGGCTCCATTGCTGGTGTGGCCGTGTGTACTAAGCACAGTGCAGACGTGCAGTTCTTGTTATGGCAACCCAAATTCCACACACAGGAGGTCTTGCCTAGTCCTTTACTTTGTTCCAAGGGCTGAAGCCTGACCCACCCCCACCCCCTATAGGTGCCTGATTTTGAAATCCAAAATTCTTTTGAGAGATAAAGACCATTGTGCTGGGATCCTGCAGTCTGTGTATGGAGAAGACCACCAGAGAGGGCAGCCACTCAGATGTGCAGAATGTTGTCCAGCCCCGAGAGGAAGCAGGAAGAAGGAGAGGCTGGCATTTGTAGGTTGTTATTCAAGCTGAAATGCACAAAATGAGCAGTGGAACTCCTGTGTATCCAGCTAAGAGAAGGTCTCTGTGTACAACACAATAAGAAAGGGTTTCCTCATGGTGCAGATTTATTACTACGAGGTGGAAACAGAACGTCGTTTTATTTAATCAGAGATCAAGAGCCAAGATTGTGCCAGCATGTGGGCCCTGAGCCCTTGGGTTTCAGTTCTTTTAAGGGCACATTTAGATTTTTCCAATCACTGCAAATCAGCACAGAGGTGTAGTTCGTAGCCATCAGGTCAGGCCAGTGCAAGGGGCCATTTAACTGAAGTCTGCTCCCATAGGGATCAAGGTCCTGTGATATCCTCAAAGCTACAGGAGAGCTGGAGCCAGTGAGTGATAGGGAAGAGGGGACATGTGGAGGACAAGTCACTGGGGATGCTGTCTGTCAGTATCAATGGAAGGAATAAATATCATAAACATGCTAATTCAAACTTCCAGACTCCAGAACTATGAGACAGTAAATTTCTCCTCTTTAAAGCCATCCAACTGGTACTACTTTGTTACTGCAGCCCTAGGTTGCTCAGGCTCACCTCTCTCTTGGCCTCACCTGAAAATCTTCTCTTACCCGATGTCACCACTTCACATGTAGCCTAATGAGGGTTCTGCATTTCGCCCAGTGGCCTCAGGTGTAAGAGGTCGACTTCTGCTCTATCTGAAGCCCTGACTTTGTGGACAAAGTCCTTGCCAAAGTCCTTGCCCCCAGGTAGAACCACCTTCTAGCTTTGGCACACCTCCTGTCTTTGAGACTCTGCCACTAACGTCTCCTTTCCTTTTTCTATCTGATACTGCTGTCTTCGGGGGCTTCAGTATCTTTATGAAAGACCACTACCTCCGAGGTCTCTTTGTCCCTTTTGTTTTGTTTGCAGTTACTCATTTAATTTATTGCAATGTAGTCATGACAAGATATACAATTATAACCTCAAAACATTGATCTAACATTAGAGAATTACAATAATTGCAATATTCATTTAATTGTTAGAGTCTAAATCTTTAGACTAGGCTATTGTTGTGATTTCAGTGAAGTTAACAGAGCAAGTTAGTTCTCCCCCCAACCCTCCATAAACAGTCTGATTTATGACATTAATTAAAATCCCCACATTGTAACCACTTTCTCCCAGTAATTCTTGTTTCTGCTCATTCTTCTATCACATCTCTTCTTGTCTTCTGGCTTTATTCTTTGGCAAACATTGTCCTTTTTTGATCTTGGATGGTCAGTTGTTCTGAAAAGTCAGTCCCTTCATGGTGTTATTGTTACAGGCATGTATGTTGTTTGGCTGAAAGCTGAGCCACAGAGATGAGTTTAATTTCAAACTCCAAGGGTGACTAAGAACCATAGTCTTGGGGCTCCAAGAATCTCTATTTGACTAGAAAGCTTGGCCATTTTGATGACTTTTCCTTTTGTTCTCTCATTTCCTCCCACTCTGTCCATAGCCTTCTATCATGATTCCTTTCACAGCAGTGGTGGCTGGGCACCATCTAGTTCTTCTGGTCTCAGAGTCCTGGAGGTTGTGGTTCACAAGATCCATTAGTCCTGCTGACTAGTAGTTTCTATTGTTGTTGTTGTTGTTGTTGTTGTTAAGTGCCATCAAGTAGAACATGACTCAGCAAACCCATGAATGAATGACCTGAATCCTGTTCTGTAACTATTACCATTTTTCTAAGTTCACAGAGTTTCCAGAGGCCTGACTAGTTTCTACACATCTTTGCTTTTCTTCCTTATTCATCTCAGACAGAGAAAGCCCTCTAGTTGCATTTTTTTTTAATGTGTGTACTGTCAAATTGGATCCGACTGGTACAGGAGGCAGTTGTTCCTCCTTCTTCAGCAGAGCATCTGGTGGATTTGAACTTCACACCTCTGGGATTGCAGTACAGCTCCTTGCCACTAGACCATTAGAGCTCACCTCTAGTTGCATTTTAGATAGCTGCTAGCAAACTTTATGACCCAGTCTCTCCTCACCAAAATAGGAGGTAGAACGTTGTCTTCATGGACTGTGTTACATCAGTTGACTTTGATGTCCCTAGAGAATATGAGTCCTGAGGCCTTAGGATCAGAAACGCAATTTTTCAGGGTATTTGGTTATGATTAAGGAGTTCACATACCTTTGATCCCCATTGACTCTATTGTCTATATGGATGTTGTTGTTGTTGTTGTTATATGCTGTACGGATAGATTTACATTTATTATAACACAAGGTGCAAAGGAAAGAACTGAAGAATAAATTCAAGCCTCAAGTTGCAACACTGAAGGATTCTATGGGCAAAATCTTGAATAATACAGAAAGTATTAAAGAAAGGTGGGAGGAATACACAGAGTCACTGTACCAAAAAGAATTGGTCAATCAATTCCACTGTGGTTGGACATCTGGGCTGTTTCCATGTTCTTGTTATGGTAAATAATGCTGCTATGTACAATAGTGTACAAGTCTCTGCTAGTGTGTCAGTTCTCTTTTCTCAGGGTATATTCCAAGCAGTGGAATAGATAGATTGAGAAATTATGGTACATTCACACAATGGAATACTATGCAGCATGCAAGAGCAACGATTTTGTAAATTACTACCTAACTTTGAAGGGACTAGAGAGCATTATGCAAAGTGACATAACTCAGTCTCATAAAGACAAATACTGTCTAAGATCACTGTTGCAGAACGAATATGAGGATCCGGGGGTGGGGAGGGGAGCTGAGGAATGAGAAGTGGAAGGGCGCTTAATCATAGAGTCATACAATTTGAATGGTGGAGGGACAGGTGGGGAAAGAAAAAGAAAGGAAAGGAAAGGGAAGGGAAGGGAAGGGAAGGGAAGGGAAGGGAAGGAAAGGAAAGGAAAGG